GACTTATATATAAAAATTCCAGCATTATTAAAACTTATAAAATTGCTGTAATTTGGTTTAAAAACATTAATTTTAATAATTTCAATCAACCACAATCAAATTCCATCCATAAACATTAATTTAAAAATCTAGGGTTTCCAATCTTGGGGCTTTTTAATTAAAAACCAAAATCTGAAATTTATAATTAAAATACTTGTTATTAAATATCTTAAGAATCATCACAAAACCCAAAAACAACAATTGGATTTAGGGTAGATTTAATTAAAATAAGAAAAACAACATATAAAATCAAAAACTGCCCAAAATCATATATAGAATATTGTTTACACACGAAAACACTATATTTTTGTAAAAATCGGACGAGTTAGAATTTAATCGTGATTACATCGAGATTAAGAATATTACGAACGGAGAATACGCAACATGCAATCACCTGGCCGCCGCTGCCACGCTGCTTGGTGGCTGCTGCCACCGGCAAAGGTTGGTGGTGGTGGCCGGCGTGTGTGGTGGTGGTTAAACAATAAATAATTAAATTAATTAAGTAAAGGAAAAGGGGAAAATTAAGGGGAAAATAAAATAACAGGAGAGGGAGAACTTACCTTTGGGTGAACTCCACCCTAGGCACATAAGGGGTATTTATACCCTCTCTCTCAATCCTCCTACTCACTTCCCTTAGTAATCCCTTTCCTAATCAAATTAGGATTTGACTTTCTTTAAAACTTTAACTTTTAAATTATTTAATATAAAATAATGTGCCCCAATATTTTAAATCATAAAACTCAATATTTTCAAGATTATTAAATAATAAAATATATTTTTAATTAAAATCATTCTTTTTGTATTGAAGAAACCCTAAATAATTTATTTCATATTGTTTAAATATTTCAAGAAATACTTATTTAAATTTAAAATACGTATAAAAATACGGGGTATTACACAGACAAGCAGAGAAATGCTGTCCCAGACAGCGTTTTATGTTGTACATAAGACGCTGTCTCATACAGCGCTTTATGTGTTTATTAATTTTTTTCTTTTTATTTTTAAAAAACAGAAATTACAAAATTTTAAAAACAAAAGTCAACAACTAAAAACGCTGTCCCATACAGCGTTTTTAGGTTGATTTTTTTTTTTTTTTTTTACAAAAAAACCAGGGCATAAAACACTGTCCGAGACAGCGTTTTACCCTGGAAACTTAGTTTCGTAAATACTTTTGCCACGCAACCATTTTGGTATTTATTTTGTCAATTGGGCTTAGTTTGGAGAAAAGTCCCAATTATTCACTAATTGAATATCCAATGCGTGGGATAAAGGAAATTATCTATTATTGGGTACGACCGTACGAGTATAAAATTAGAGTATTTGGATCATTCAAACTGTCTTTTCTCACCTTTGCTCCACCACTCACTCTCACTCTCGCGGTATTAATGCCACCTCCCTTCCCGTTGCCACTGTGACCACCACAATTTTACTATTATCTTCCTCCCTATTTTTTTTAGGATGCCCATTCGGTCCATATGAGCTTAGCTCCGACTACATCCGGATGCGAGCTGGGTTGCACACCTGGTCACCTGGCTTATGATGGGTGAGTCTCCTAAGAGTTTCTGCATACGGCGAGGTTTGAACCTGAGACTTCCCTTAAGCAACATCAAGTTGATTACCACTTGAGCTAACTCTTATTGTATCTTCCTCCCTATTGCTGCTACCTTGCTTCCTCATTCTTTTTGTTTCACCACCACATTGGTAAAATTTGAGATATTAATGGATAAGGATTTTGCTAACAAAACGCCTCTTAATAGTTTAAAATATTTCTTAAAATAGTATTGATTTGGGAATACATGTCAAATCATAGGTCGATTGATGTAAATAATGTTCATTTCGATATTTCTACTTTTAGTTATCTTATCTAACGCTCCCATTTTAGAAGTGTGTCGGGTGGGTTTTTTTTTAAGGTTTTTGAGTTTTGTTTGAGTGGGTGGGACCGTGGGAGGATAATTTAGGTTGCGTTGGTATGGTTTTGGGATAGTGGGGCTAGTTTTGGGGAAGTTGGGACCTGGTTTCATTAAGTGGGTTGGTTTTGGGTGGGTGGGAAGGGTGATTTTGGGTGGTTGGATAAAGTTTGAGGAGGTTTGGATTAGCAATGGGTGATTATTTAGAACTTCTAGGATTATACTTTATCCCTTCAAAATCTTGATTAGACTTTGTGATATTCATATGACATTATGACATATAGTTAAATTTTGGGTGGTTGGATTTGTACATTTGACAAATGTAATAAGAGAAATGTGTAAACTAATTTGAATTAAGAGAAGAATTTATAAAGAATCTAAGGTAAGAATACTAAATTACATCAAATATTAATTACAGTGATAAGTGTATGATTTTCCACATATATATTTTCTTAAAATAAACTATTAAAAGAGAGATTTGTTCCTCATTACTTATTAGGTTTTGGCACGTATATTAAAAAATTTAGAAGGGTATGATGAGACTATGACTCTATGAGGATTGTGAGAGAAAAAGAGTTAGCAAAGAGGTTCACTCGAAGAATATTTTTTTTTATTATTTTTTTTATTTTAATGATTGAATATTTATAAATATCATTACCCCTTAAAATAATTAGACAAAGAGAGAGATGTATTATTTTCAAATTAATAATATAATAATGGTAAAATTAGAAGTTTGGGAAAGCTTAAAAAAGAAAAAAGCTTAAAAAAAAAACAATAATCAAATTATTGAAAGAGTAGCTTTCAACAATCACCAAATTGGTAGTGAATATAGTTATCAAATATGAGATAAACGTGGTTTATCAAATTGTCATCAACCACCACCCAAAGATATACAAGTATGTGGTTTATCATATTTCATAAACCTCATTTATGTTATGAAAATAAGGTATTGAGACATTGACATAAATTAGGATAAGAAATGTAAGGTGATGAAATTAAACGAGGTACTAGGTACAACATTGGAGAGCTATGTTTGTCACTTTGATATTTAAGGAGTGAAGGGCCTATTGTCAAAATTTACATAACTGCCCAAGGTATTGTACATCTATATAGACAACTTATGAACAAGTGATACATACAACAACAACCAATATTAGAATTGATTTGAATCAAAAAAAAAAAAAAAAAAAAAAAAAAAAAACAGAATTGATATGCGTAGTACGGAATATAATATTATGGAAAGAGGTGCTTTTAGTTATCTTAAGCTGGTCATCATTGCAGTACTACTGATGAGTGCTACAGATTCGTCTCTTTTTGATAAAATTTTATTTTATTTTCTTACTTAGGTTGATTATCTAAGCTCTTTATGCACGGAATACATGCATGATTTTTTATTTTATTTTATTTTATTATTTTGAATACATGATCGTAAATTAAAGAACGAATTAGTTCCAGTGAAAGCACGAGAAAATACAAGTTTCTCACTTTGATAAACTAATTGTGTTTATCTAATGGCAAATATGTAAATATTCTGCCTTGATATTTGTTCCCTTATAGCAAGACTCGCACACACTTCATGTTATTTAGAAAAAATAATAGGGGGCGGGGGGGGGGGGGGTTGGGGAGGAATTGTAGTATCCTCCTCATGTAATATGGAGCTTGCAAGTCACTTTTTGCGGAATCAAAAGAAACTTAATGCAAGTAGAGAGATAGTGCAAGAGAGATGTTACGAGGAAAACCGATTTTACGAGGAAAACTTCCTAGGCTTAATAGGAAGTGAAAAACCTAGGAAGTGAGAGTTAAAGTGAGAGTTAATAAATCTTTATTAGCTTCTTCCATAGTAGCCAACTAGCCACTATGTGATCATATTTTGCTGGAAGGCTTCTTAAAATTTTTCGGACTATTTTTACATCTTGTCTCTATTAGAATGAATTTTATTAACTAAATTTGAGACAACTAGCCATGCATGATCGTAGGAAGTATTATTGTTTCATCCAACCCACGATAGATTAAGGATATATAGGGCATAATAATTGTCCTTTATCCGATTTTGCTTGAGTTGCAACTTTTTTCCTTCACTCCAAGCAGCTTCTTGCTTGAGCGGCATTATTGGGTTGTTCATAGCCATTTTGTACCAACTCCCACAAATCTGATCTTGTGAGATAAATACGGACTTCGTTTGCATTGTCATTGTTGGTACTTTTCACCCTTAAATGTGGGTACCCAATTAACTTGGGGGGGTAATTGCATGTATTTAAAGGCGAAGGCGAAGGACTAGAGGAGGCCATGTTAAATTATGTGGTGTTTAGGTTGTATAAGTTGATGTGGATTTTGTTTAGTGTAATGGAGACTTGGGGAACCAGCTGGCTCGAATACCAAATATAGGAATTTTTATGTGTGGAAGTAGTAGTGGGTTGCTTGGTTTGCTATTATTTGGAGAGGAAAATGATTAGTGATGAAATAGTTGACTACCCTGTTATAAAGCATATTCCTTGAGAACACATATTAATGTACAATAAAATTCATTACTCGTTAACAGTGACCCAAAGCAAGTAAGGATTTACTAAAGAAAGGGAAATTTGTTTTTCATGGGGGCATTTTCGTAAATAAATCAACAGCTTTTCATTATTGTGGGCCTTACAATTGAATAAAGTTGAATAAAGTTATTAGTTTATGTACAAAAATGTCATGTGAGAAAGAAGCTAAGTGTACGAAAACTAACATTGCCCTTTGAATTTACACCATCAGCATACTCAACAACTAAATCACGTTGAACTATGTCTACCTGGAGTAAGTACATCACCTTTATAGCAACGTTGTCAATATATAATCAAATATTGATCAAATTTAACTCTACAAAATCACATCTTAGTGTACAATAACTATCATAGCAGATTGTAGTACAATATTATCCAAAAGTTTTGGTAATTTTATTTTTAAAGTAGATAAGCAAATTGTAGAAAGGTTCGATAACATGAAGAAAGCATAAATGCATAATGATAATAGAGTTGGAGTTACCGAATGGGGCGAAGACAATTTGCTTTGCGAGATGACTCAAAATTGAAGGTGTAAATCGGGGATGTTGCTTATTTTAGAAAAGTCTGTCCCATTCGGTTCATCGTATCTTTTCTTCAATCCATTGCACCACCTTATTTTAAGCATTGTGAGGGAGGGGAGGATTGCTTCTGGCAGGGATTCCAGTTTCGGAGAACAAGTAATAGAAAGTGACCGCAAAGACTTGGGGCAATGAAGCCACTCCGGGTGGGGTTTCATATTCTCACAACCTTGAATAAAGATACTTTGAAGGGAAGTCAAGTATTGAATGCCCTTTGGTAGATCTATCAGTTGTGGAAGTTCACATAAGCTCAAGTAAGAGAGGGCGTGAAGGTCTTTCCATGGAAACCTTTCCTCTTCTTCCAGTCCCAGGTTAGGGCATCCCCGAATTTCAAGTTGTTTCAAGTTGGTGAGATGCTCTATTCCTCCTCCCGACAGACTCTTTAAGTTTCGGCAACGTAAAAACCATAGACTACGAATGGAAAATGCATACTTCCGATGATACTCTTCTTCAGCACTCGACAAACTCTCCACCTCCATATCACACAATATGAGTTCATCATTGCTTCGTATAGACTCCCCAAAAAGGGACTTAATTAATCCTAAATTGTCTGTTGCTAGAAGCCACAAGTCAAAAACATCAACACCAGCTGAATTACTGTCGTTGCTGTCGCTTGAAGACGAGGCAGAGAATGAGGAGGCAGCAGGGGTGGTTGCATTTGCCTCACAAAATGTCAGTGCTTCATTCAGGCCCCACAGTCTAAAAGTTTTCACACGTGGACATCTGGGAAAAGACTTCAACCCTGGACATTCTACAAGGGACAGTTCTTCAAGTGACGGAAACGAAGGTGCAACATTATTATCAGACTCCATCAGCTCTACATTGGGCATGTCTCTGAGTTCAAGAGATTTCAGATGCTGGAGTTGAGTCATTGCTGGCAGATGTTGCAAATCGTGAAAATGCTGCAGGGAGATTCTCATAAGTCGTGGGAGAGAGGTTGCCAGTGTGGCTGCCCATCTTGGCAATGTCACGCCTTTATATCCAAGTATGTTCATTTCTATTAGATCACGGTGGGGTTCCAGTCTTTCTAGCAATCTTTCATCTACAATTGCTGCTTTTTTGTGATGCCATATACCATTATTTTCAATCGTCAAAGCCTTGATATGTTCCTTGTTTACAAGATATGCTTCTTCCTCAGGATCCATAAAATCGTATGTGTATCCCTTTTCAAAAATAACTTCAAGTGTACCTCTAAGGTTAATTAGAGGTATCAAATCTCTAAGTTGACCCATCTGGCCTTTCTTAGAACTTTCTGGCCCCAACACAAACCTTGTAAGGGTATGTAGACCAGTCATACTATCCATTCCAATGGGCATATGAGTCAACCTGAAGCAATTTGTTATGTCCAAATGCTTAAGATTAACTAGTTCCCTCAAGTCCTTAGGCAACTTTTCTAGGAGAAAACAACGTTTTAGGTTCAATACTTGCAAATTATAGAGTCTACTAATTGACTCGGGAAGCGTCTTCAAATTCTTATTGTAAGAGAGATCAAGATACCTTAAATGCAAAAGGTTCTTTATTGTACTTGGTAAAGCTTTTATCCTAAGCTTGTGCAAGTCCAACACCCTCAAACGCCCGCAGTTTGCTAATATTGTGGACACTTGTGATTCACATTCCAGCCAACGATAAGAATGCCGGAGAAGCGTACGCAATCCACTCAATTTGCTACAAGTATCACTTGGACTAAGCAACAGAGAGCGCCTAACTGAAATAGCGAGATGACGAGGTTTTCTATCAAAAGGGCTTTTGCTAGTGTCCTCCATCAAGTACGACTCCTTTCCTGCAATTTCTTGTGCAAGATCATGAATCAAATCATGCATTTTACAAGAATGTATTTCACCATGTCTAAAATCATGGTGTCTAAAGTATTGGAGAAAACATCTCTGCAATAACTTTGAAAAATACTCCTCACCAACATCTTCTGTTGTTTGCATATCATTGATAGGTTCAAGATACCCTTGTGCAGACCATAGACGGATCAATAACTCTTTCTCAATCTCGTAATCCTTAGGGAAGAGTGCACAATATATAAAACAACTCTTTAACTGTGGCTCAAGGTAATTATAACTAAACTTCAATATTGGCATTATGCTCATTTCACCTTGGCCCATTTTAGACAACTCAATTCCCTGAAATGATTTCCAGAAGTTTCTGTTCTTTTGACCATGCAACGTGCTCCCCACAACCGTTATAGCCAAGGGAACATTTGCACATTTTTTAACGATGTTTTTACCAAGGTCCACAAGGTCATCATCAATCTCTCTACTCCCTCGGTTAAATGCTACTCTCTTAAACAAACGCCAAGAATCATCATCTGACAAACCTCTTAATGTGAACATTGGATAGTCTCCTATAGCTCCTGCCACCCTTTTTGAGCGTGTAGTCACCACAACTCGGCTTCCTCTCGCAGCTCCTCGCAAGAAATTTCTCAAGTCGAGCCATTGATAACGATGTTCGCTCCACAAATCGTCTAGAATAAGGAAATTTTTTTTCCCTTCTATACGACGTCTCACTTGTTTCTGCACCCCATCAGCTCCTATATCACCATGATCTTGCTCAGTGGCCGACTTCAACATCTTACAAAGGATTTCATTCAAGATAAACTCATCAGAGACACAAACCCACAACTTCAAATCAAATTCGTCATTAATTCTAACGTCATTGTACAAAAGTTGAGCAAGAGCAGTTTTGCCTAGTCCTCCCATCCCGACAATACTCACAAAAGAAACATTATCAACCGAAGAATCCGATTCTCTCAACAACATACCCATAATTTCCTCCTTATCAGTGTCTCTCCCAATGATACTATCTTCATTGACATCAGACCAAGTTTCCTCTTTTCTCTTAACTGGCCTAGACACATCACTAAACCCAAACTGAGTACGATCATTAGCAACGGCATCTAGCTTCTTTCTAATCTCCTAAATTTCTTTAGATGTCCTCAAGCCAAAAAGCAACTGATTTTCACTAGAAAAGAAAGTGCGTACCTTTCTCGAAATCTTACCACCAGGCATCCTTTTCTGTTGCTGAGCAATCGTGGCAAACTTGTCGAACAAATCATCAGCTTCATAGACAGCATCCTTGAGCTTGTTAACCCACTCCAACCCCTGATTGTTGAGCTCAAGATGCCTGGAATCCGCATCAAGGAGGACTTTCTGGATGGTTTCGATGGTGCCTCGGAGAGTCTCAAGTTGCGAATCATACTTAAATTTAGAGCATAACTCTTTCAATTCCTTGCATTGTAATGCTGCAAATAGAGTTTGCGCAACACCCAACACCATACCCGTGGCCGTCGCCATTTTCTTGATTTTTTTTTAATTTTTAGTTTTACTTATTTTTCTGCAAAAGAGAGGATGAGAATAATTATGAAATGGTATGATATAAAACTAAAACTACAACTGGCTTTTCCTTTATACAACTACTTGTAGACGTGGGAAAGTGTTGGGAAAATTCGTTCTCTATATTTTGGCCAGTTTTTCCACAAGAACAATGAATAGATTTCTCCATATACCAACAAGTGCAATAATTAAGGTTTTAGGATAGAATTTAAAATAAATTAGTGGGATGGTATGATAATTTAACATAAGCCAAAACAAAACAATACACGTTTAATGCGGATCTGATTTCTTTGTTTATTCTGTTGCACATTCAATTCTGCGTAAATGACTCATACGTAATTAAATATTATGCGTGAAGATAATCAGGAATCAAGGTAGTATGAACGAGCTTTGATTGCGTATTATTATCATATCGATTATTAATCAGTCAAACAAACATTCAAATTTTTAATTAAAACGAATATCAACTTATTGCCTTATTAAGCATTGTACAGAAATGATGGAATTTCATCATCATAGGATGCTCTAATGATATACTTGTATATGATTGTATTTATATGAACGTTTCCCCCAAAGTTTTTTGACTTTGGCGGAGCTTGATCTTTTCTAATAATAATGCCTCGCTTTTGTGATAATTATTATTTTTGATATCCATCTTGGTTTAGTTATAAATTTGTGTTTAAGTGCAGCTTCACTCTGCGTCAATGACTAGGTGATGGTATAAAATTTTCCGAACAACAAAGAGCACTCAACTACTAGTCTAGTCTTATAAACATATGGTAGACTAGCTGATATAAAATTTCCTGAATGGCGAGAAATCTTTACTCTAAAAAAAATAAAATAAATATCAAAAGATTACTTAATTTAGTCAATTTAGTCAAATTGAGTCGCTTACTTAATTTAGTCAATTTTTTTCGTGGATAGATCCGACGCTTTAATAAAATAAAATATCCTGAATGGCGAGAATTCTTAGTTGGCTAGTGGGGGAAATCGGGTTATGGCACAAAAGGCTGAGATCGATCAGAAAAAGGCTGAGTAGCTGCCGGTACTTCCTGGTCGGGAGTCGGTCCCACAGGTGGCCGATCATCGGTCCCTTCCTAGGAGAGGGTTCCCAAGCTACCAACGAAAGTCGGGCGAAGAAGCGGCTCCATACTGGTTACAAAACTACCTTTATAGAATAGATAGGCAGGGAGGGGCAATTTTTCCAATTTTCGGCACGCCGATTAATTGGACCGTTACCCCCTCTAGCGCCCTGGGGGGGACCTTGCCCGTGCTGAAGACGAGCTCGTCTTCAGCTGCAGCTCAGTGTTTGATCGGCAGATCCGCATTAGAGCTGAAGGAGACTGTCTTTCTGGTTGGACTGAGCAGGTTAACAATCGAAAAAGAAGACAAAATCTTCTATTCTGTACTGATAAGGAAGTGATGAACAAGCATAAGAAGGATAAGCTACCGCGCACCCGGGTTCTTGTTCAAATCCCCCAATTCACTAAACCCCATGTTTTTGGCTTGTTTCGGGTTTCTATTCCATAGGCTACGTCCCGATTCGAGAATTTTAATCAAACATGGTATTTGTTGGGGTAAGTTGATTTTCCCTACTAAAATGACATTCCAATATGATCCTTTTTTTCAAAGCCCGGGTTTTCTAAAACCTTTGAGTATCAACTGCACATATATTATTGATTTATCCTTACTCTTATGTTGCTTATTTGGCTATGGGTTCGATTGACTCTCATGAAAAAGAGTACTTAAATATGCATTCAATTTGTTCTAGTTCGGAGAACGGGAATAAGGAACCAATCAACTGAATTCAATATTCGTCTTCTTGTTCAAAGACTTAGGTTTCTGGAGTCTTCTTCGTTCCTTTCTCACGACAGCACATAGAGCAACACATCGGTTCTATCTCGGTCTCAATCAACAACATGAATAACGATCGTTTCTTTGCTTCGATATAGTAACAAAAAAGAAGAAAACGAGTCCCGCCTACTATACGTCGGTCTTCAATCCTGCGTCTATACTAGTTCAGTCTTCACCCCGTCGCCTATACTAGGCGTTATTTCGGTCTTCAATATTGAGTCGTCTTACTTAGTTATTTAGCTCTGCTTCACTAGGTCTAACGACCCAGCTCTAAAGACCCTACAGGAGTGGATACAGAAACAATAGCTATCTTCGAACCTAGTGTAAAGCATAAGGCTATTTACTTGCTTACTTTCTTACTTTAATGAGTAAGGTGAGATCCTTTATCAATGCATTTATTTCGAGATGCGAATCATATTCTAGTAAAGATATGCCCCTTGGGTTCGACTTTCCTTTCTTATATTAAGAAATTCTATAGTTATAGGGAGGCTAGACATTCGTGGGGGGATTAACCCGGTCTTCTGAACTGGAATAAGAATAAGTCTTTCTCGAGTAACTGAGACTCTTAGTGGTGCGGAGTAAGCTATAAAGTTGCTGTCCGGAAAAAACCGATAGAAGAAGGTAAGCTAAGTTCGCAGCATATTACCTATTCCGCTTCTAGTCCTCTTCTAGGCTATCTTTAAGCAAAGAGAACGCCCTACAAAGCTTTTCTCTATTCCCTCGGATCACAATTTATTGCCTCTATTAAGAGATGGGATAGAGGCTTGCATGCCGGCTAGAGATTGTTCTGGAACGCAAGAGTCAAGATGTAGTAACACCTTGATAATAGAATTCAGGCTCTTTATCAACCAGGGGAGAATTCCCCGTTTGTCCTTGAAGAAGAGTTAGTTCTGAGTGCTAGGAGTGGGATCCCCTTGAAAGGAATGATGTCCTTCCAACAAGTGTATTATTCCAATAGAGGGTTCAGAATTATTAGAAAGCTAATTCTTCAGTGAGGTCAAGTGATCGGAATGCCTAGGTGGAGGCCGCATCCGATTAGTAATATTAATGCATAATTAATATTATGGCTTAATCTTGATTGAGCCCTTCGGGTCGCACCCCAATCTAATAACCGGTCCGAGACGACGAATCAATCCGGAGAATTAGATGAGTCATTAGAGTATTACGAACAAAGACATCGGATGCCGAGCTTCGAGCGTCGAAACCGAGCATCATAAGTCGAGTCGAATTTAGATTTCGACAAGATGAGAAATCAAATAAGCGACAAGTTCGAGCTAGGCTGTAGCCTCGCATTGGCCTAGCCATGCGAGTGCTAGGCTAGCTTAAGCTACCATGCGCATCGCAAGCCATACCGCAAGCCTATCATGCATTGCGTGCTAGGCCAAGCATGCTAGCAAGGCTGGGTGCACAAGGCCGTAAGCATGCTAGCGTGCTAGCATGCTGGGCCACGCACCTAGCCCCAAGCATGCATCACATAGCATTCGCACAGCAGCTCGCTATGCGTGCTTATGCTATGGGCTATGCATGCTAGGCATCGCATAGCAGGTGCACCCACAGCAAATAGGCAGCAGCAGCTAGCAGCCCGCAAGACTTACGTAGCGTGCTGGCTACGCATGAGCATGGGCAGGCTGGCCAACAGCCTATCCTTGGTGCTAGGCGCCAGCTGGCAGCCTTGGCAGCCAAGGCAAGCTGCCAGCCAACCAAGTGGCTGGGACAGCTTGCGTTTTGTGTCGGGACCGATTTTAAGGGGGTTTCTTGGTGAGCAAGGGGTTTGGTCCCCCCCTTGAATGGTCCTCACCGCTCTTGCTCTCCATATGACACTAATAGCTTGTTGATTGATTTGCATTATAATTCTCCCAAATTGATAGAGAAAGGGAGATCAAGGCTCTATTCTCTATAAATACCCAACTTTTGGGTTTGGGAAAAATCACTTGAGTTGAACTCAATAAGGCATCTCATCATTAGTGAGAAAACCTTTAAGTTTTTAATACTCTAGTTTTATTTGGTTTAGTCCCGAATAACCTTCGGGATTAAGACCGTTCGGGTCGGGTCGAGGGTGCGAGCCGTAGGAGGCCGTCGCACTTGCGTGGCTCGAGCTTTGAAGTAAGAGCTCGTGAATCGATCGAAGCACGCATCGAGGGTGAGAATGTCTTTTCTCCTTCTCTCTCTCATGTTGTTAATTATGTGATTCCATGTTTAGTTGCTTTAATTAGTGGGCGGGTCTTGGGCGGGTTTCTCTTTCGCGTAGTGTTGGACACTACGAAACCTAACACCCCTAGCAATAGTTCACCACTTTCCCAAAGAACCGGGTGAAGACCTTAGAAAGAGCTCACTTCTCTGAGAAAAGATGGTTTCAATCTTGAGTTGACTATAGTTTTTTAATATCCTACTACCCTTCCTCCCTTTTTCTGAAAGCTAGTGTCAGGAAACATAGGAAACCTGGTACTCTGATATCTCTGGTTTAGGTGAAAGGGTTGGTCTGTGAGAATACTTCAAAGCATCTATTGATGGTCCAAATTCATCATCTTCCAGGGGGTGATCTCCTTGTAGCATCTCTTCCAAGAGCAAAACTTATTCGTCTGAAAGAGCTGATTCGGCAACAGAAGAAGGGAATACAGGCTCAGAGCTAAGCAGAGAAGGAGGAACGGAGAAAGGCTGATAAAGGGCGGGTCGAGCTGAATGAAATCCGGGTGGTGTTAATTGAGTTACCGCCTTTTCCACTTCCTAACTAAGATAAGGGGAATTCAAAGGCTGGTTTCTCGTATTATAGAAGAGTTGTGTGACCAGGGCAAAGATCACCACTAGCCCTACTAATGTTCACCCTTATTTGGGCAAAGCCTAAACCGTTGTACTCCTAGTAGTTTAGTTCACTCACTCGCTTTCCAACTCTTTATTATGACCTCATCTTACAACCCCGGAAGACGGAATCATTTAAGACTCTTTCAAGATTACCTGAGTCAAACCTCAACTTGAGTGTATAGCAGATCAGGAAGGACTTCATTAAACGGCCCTGAGGAAGACGGGTGCTAAGCAAGACTGTTTCCTTGACCTTGTAGGGAACTTCTTTTAGGGATCAGTCTCCACCCATAAGGGTCGAGGGTTTTTTC